ACAAACTGCAAAGGAAGGGGGAGAGAGAGAGAGAGAGAGAGAGAGAGAGAGAGAGAGAGAGAGAGAAGACTAGAGGCATTCTCCAACCACCTTGTGTGAGTATGTGTGAGCGCGCGTCGATGTATGTGTGTTTGTGTTTGTGTGTGTGTTTAAGGATGTGGGAGGGGTCTGGCGTGTGTGTGTGTGTGTGTGTGTCTGTGTGTGTGTCTGTGTGTGTGTGTGTGTGTGTTCGTACGTGCGCGTGGATTTGAGCTAAGAATGGTAGATGTAGCTTAACTGTTAGCCCAGAAAGCTGACTGGAAATCTTCATACCGAGTGCAGGAACTAATCGATTTGGTTGAACTGGGTCAAGAGTACAGGAAAATGTTGAAGAAAGTCGGTGGGAGCCGCTCGTAATTTAAGTAAACTCAGTAATATTACTCGAAGAAACAGAGCGAGGAGATCACGTATGCCAAAATAAAGTATAAAGTAATGTGTACACAGTTCTGTGTAAAGGTGATTCAGAGGACAAGCAAAGATTAAACAACAGAAAGGAAAGGACAAAATATGGCACGGAAAAAAGTACGACTTGTCGTATTACCAACGAATAGTGCTCCCCCCCCCCCTACCTACCTACCTACTTATCTTATTATCATTATTATCGTGGTCTTTATAAATCGTCTTTTTGTCATCGATATTATTGATATTATACTACCATCATCGTCGTAATTACCAATATGAATGATGATAATAATCATAATGATACTGCTGCTGCTGCTGCTACTACTACTACTACTTCTACTACTACTTCTACTACTACTTCTACTACTACTATGGTTTTGTTTGTTTGTGTTGTTGTTTTGGTTTGTTTATTGTTTATGGGGGGTTGTTTGTTTGTTTGTTTGTTTTAAACAAGCTGCAAAATAAACATATTCCTAACATTTCTGCTCACAGTTCAGCGACCAGGACTCATCAAAATCAGACTGTGCCTTTTTCCTTTCTTTTTTTTGGTTGTTTTTTTTTTTTTGGGGGGGGGGTTGGTTTTGTTGAGGTGGAATGCCTGCCGCCCGACTTCGATAAAATTGTTGCGTTTAAAAACTCGTCGAGAACTACGTCCTATCGTAAAAATAATATCAAACTCGGAACCAGCATAGATCTATCAAAATTTACTAACTTCATGTGACTCTCGGGCGGCTCCTTTTCTTGCTGAATTAATTTTGAAGATCTCAAAAAAGAAGGGTTTTTTTTACAAAGATCGTGTCATGTCTTATTTTCTTATTACAAAGAGGACGGAGAACTGTCAGTTTTAACTGAAATTGTAATACACCCATTAGAGTTTGTTCAAATATGGGTTTTCTAGTTAGTCGCGTTAGCCTATTTTTTAAATTTTGTTGTTGCTTGCTTTTGGAAGCAAGTTTAATAAAAAAAAAAATTGCTGGTGGGTTGTTGTTGCTATTGTTGTTATTGCTGTTGTTGTTGTTTTTGTTGTTACTTTGTTTGTTTGTTTGTTTTTTCTTTGGGGACCGCTGTTATGATAGTTACGCTTTAGACGAAGTCTTTGGTGTCATTGTGGATCGATTACATCTAGTTCGTCTCAACCTTGATGTGTCTCGCGAATGTGTTCAGGGTTCTAGTTAGATCAGGTCCAAAATTTGGACCATTTAATGTTTGTTTTTTTTGTCTTTCATTTTGTCCTATCAGCACTGTCAGGGCGACTTCATCAGGAAAAAGTTCCTACACCAGAGCTTGACCTGAGTAGCTAGGCCTACATAATTAACCTCTTCTTTGCTGAAACGTTTCCATCTACGTTTGTACAGACAAGATGAAGTGTTAATACAAGAAAGATTTCAAACAATGCCATGCATAATGTTATAATTATTTCCACTAATTTGTGAATAAACAACTACACAAGTTGTAATCAAATCTACTACCCCACACACACACGTACACACCCTTTCTAAGGCTTAAATACAGTGGGGGGAAATTAATGGCAGAGAACTGATCTTTAGAAAACACGCGAGTGGGTTAAAATTTCTACCGTACCAGCACGCCTTCGTCCCTGGTTTCCGCTACGCTTGGAATCAGAGCCCTTGACCTTTCGACGATTCTCCAACCCATGACACAGCAGTTTTGAAAGTTCCATGGAATCATTAACGCGAAATAATCAGTATTATTTTGGTTATGTTTTTGCTCTTTACTAACCCCTTTCATCTGTCCTCGGTTTTTGTTTTGAGTGAAAAGAAAAATAGCAGTCGATACGTTAACGCACCATTTGGTGTCGGGGAAAGTAAGCTAGACACAAACTGCAAAGGAAGGGGGAGAGAGAGAGAGAGAGAGAGAGAGAGAGAGAGAGAGAGAGAGAGAAGACTAGAGGCATTCTCCAACCACCTTGTGTGAGTATGTGTGAGCGCGCGTCGATGTATGTGTGTTTGTGTTTGTGTGTGTGTTTAAGGATGTGGGAGGGGTCTGGCGTGTGTGTGTGTGTGTGTGTG